TAGGTTAAAATCTCATTGGAAAATGTTTAATAAAATAAAATTGAAAATACAGTACAATACAAATAGTTGTAGCAAATTTCTGAGATTTAAAAGCTCACCGTGAAAATTTAGCAATCAGCTCGCTAAAGGCCATGGGCTCTGGATCCAGCACAGACCCGCCCATACCTGCGTTCTGCCTCCCCATTTCACCTATTGAAATTCTTATTACATTACGTTATGTTATGTTATAGTATATTGTCATATCATATCTTTGTGGCTTAGTCATTTTCAGTGGTGTCCAACTCTTTGAGACTCTCTTTAGGGTTTCCTTGGCAAAGACCCTGGAGTGGGTTGCCATTTCCTTCTCCAGCTCATTTGATAGATGAGGAAACTGAGGCAGACAGGGTGGAGTGACTTGCCCAAGTTCACATATCTAGTAAGTGTTTGAGGCCAGATTTGAACTCACAAAGACAACTAGGACAGCACTCTATCCACTGTGCCACCTGGCTGCCTTAAATTGTACAGTATTGTGTCATGTTGTGTTGTGTTATCATGTCATGTTATGTTACATTATATTATATTATACCATATTATATTACATTGTATATTCCCTTATATTAAAATATTTACCTTCCCTTCCATCAAGACAAAGCTCACGTACCAACCACCTCCTTCGTGAACAGTTCCCTGGGGCCTCTATCTAAGAGCAATCTCTTCCTGTGAGCTCCCAGATCCACTTTTCACACTCTATGTTCTATTGATTAGAGTGCATGACTCAGCTGTCCTCCTAGAGTCTAAACTTTTCAAAAGTAAGAGCCACGTCTTTGAGAGCAGCAAGGTGGCACAGTAGATAAAATACTGGACCAGGAGTCAGAAAGACTTGAGTTCAAATCTGCTTTGATACACTGTGTGACCCTGGACAAGTCACTTAACTGCTGATTGTCTCAATTTCTTCATCTGTAAAATGGGAATAATAATAGCACTTACCTCCCAGAGGTTGTGAGGATAAAGTGAAATAATACATGTAAAGTGCTTTATAAAGCTTTAAAGTGATACATCAATTTTAGCTATTTTTATTTTTTGTCATTTTTTAACCCTAGTCCTACCAGAGTACCTTGCACATTTAGGACTGAAAGAGACATCATCACCAACTCTTTTTGTCAACAATAAAATTGAAGGGTGAAGTGAGGAAGTGATGGCCAACGGCCCGGAAGAGGCAAATGGCAGAGCCTGGATCTGATTACAGGTCCTCCAACTTCAGATTTGGTGCTCTTTCCACAGTAAATACTATGCTGCCTCAAAAAAAAAATATTTGAGTTGGATGGATAGTTTCATGCACTCAGGTGGCTAGAAGCCTTGATTAGAAATGAGGGCAGAATCCCAGCAGTTAGGAAACGAGTTGTCCCTTTTCTGACAAATGAGCGGGATCCCATCCTTCCACCTTCAACTGCTGAGAATGCTCCTGGAAGCCCTGGACCATGAGCCTACTCCATTGCTGCCACATCTAAACCATCAATTCACAAAGCATGAATAGGACCACTCTGAATGCATTTACAAGCAAGCCAGGGTAAGTGGGCAAAAGGGTTAAGGGGGGGAAATAGTAGGCTAAATTGGGGAAAGTGGGTTCTTTGTCCAACATATCCCTTCCCTGCTTTTAGAGGATATCTGACTTTTCCTACCCCTCTCCCCTAATAGAATTTCACGACTGTAGGAAACACTGTGATAGCCAGAAGTAGAAGAAGCCCTACCTCTAATTATAAATAGCTTTTTCACCCAGGACAAAGGAACAGTTGCGGTGCTGGGGTAGTGTTGTGGTTTCAGTCATGCCAGAAAGAGGGAAGACTCTAGCCCTAACCCTGATTCTTCACTCCAGCCATCTCCTACTATGAGCTGCCATCCTACAACTATACCCTCCAAAATGGACCTCCAGAGGCCATGCACACCCAGGAGGAGCTTTGAACTCCCTGGGACAATGTTTCTATACTCCAGCCATCTTCTGCCCTGTTCCCTCCTTTCTCCTTTCCAAATTTCCGCCTCTTCCTCCAGGAACTGTAATGAAACCAGTAGTACTACTGCTTCTAGAAAGCACTTTCAATAAAGTGTCCACTTGTTCCACTCTGTGCCTTCCCAAACCAAAGAACCTGTCCCTGACCGCTAGTCCCCCATATATGTTGCCCCCACCTGCAGTGGGAGCATTTAGGAATGACAGATAGGCTTCCTAGCAGCATAGGCCAGTAGAAAAACACGAAGTGAGGCACTGTTTGGGATGATGGGCCAACACAGAAAAGAATGCAGTTGTGACAGGAAGGAGCATGCCCTCCCCCTCTCAGGAAGGAAGTACCCCACCTTGGAGCAAAGCTCTATTTGCCTAGAGCAGGACTGGGGAAACTGTGGCCCTCTAGGTCCTCAAGTGTGTAGCCCTTTGACTAAATCCAAACTTGACTGGGTTTTTTTTATTCAATCAAAGGGCCACACTTGAGGACCTAGAAGGCCATATGTAGCCTCCAGGCTGCAGGTTCCCCACTCCTGGTAGTGTTAGTTAAGGTTCTGCTGCTTCTAGTTTCCTTTAAGCAAGTCCCATTAGACTCCTGGCAGTTTTGTAGTCTTACAGAGTTAGAAGGGTGTGAGTCTTCTTACTACTCAGAGGGGAAACAAACATGAATTCCAGTTCTAGAGCACTGTTTATTGGTAAGTCATTTTCTTTCTGGTGGTCAGTCATGGGGCAGTTAGTCAGTCAGTCAGTCAGTGATCTGTTCAGGAAACTGTGGAACCTGCCTCAGTGCTGGGGCCCAAGTCAGAACCCTTTTCTCATTGGAGAGTTCCATCCAGGTCCTCCATTTTGGAGAGAAGCCAAGGTTGGTCAACCTCCTGGCTGTGCTTCTGACTTTCTGGACTTCCAAACTCTATTTAGCCTTCATTCCTCCAAACTCCCTTTTCATTTAACTCCCTTTTGCACGTTGTCTTCCGCCATTAGAACAAAAGCTCCTTGAGGGCAGGGACCATCTTTCATTTGGCTGGCATTTGTATCCCTAGCACTTAGCACAGTGCCTGGCACATAGTAAGTGTTTAATAAACACACGGCCTTCACTTGCCTATTAAGTGCCTACTGTATGCAAGGTACTATGCTGAGAGTGGGAGAGGGAATATAGAAATAAATAAGATGACTCCTTTCAAGGAATGAGCTTACAATCTTGTAGGGAAGCTAAGATATGCATCTAAATAAAACATAGATTAGAACATGATGAGTGTGGAAGAGGCATTTAGAATGAGCAGATGAGGAAGAAACAACTTTGGGGGTGGCATTCAAAAGAGACTTCATAGATGAAATGGTAGACTTTTATTCCAAACGTAACACCAAATAAGATGGCATTTCCAGACACAGAGTAGAACAGAAAAAGAGGATTACACATGAAACTGCAGATTTCTATTCTACAGAGCTTGCTTTTCTTTAAGTATATAAAAAGTAAAGACTGACTTTCAAAGCTGGTCTGCTCAACTATGCTCTTCTGACTTTCAGTTGTCTTCTCTACATTTTTAGAAAGATGCCTCAATGGCGCCCTTTTCTTCCTTCCTTCCTTTTTTCATTTCTTTTTCTTCCCTCTTTTCTTTCCTTTTTCTTTTTTCTTTCCTTCTTTCTATCTTTTTCTTTGTTTCCTTTTTCTTTCTTTCACTACCCCATCCCTGGAAAAAAGAAATAAGCCATATTACAAATACACAGTCAAGCAAACAAATTCTTGCATTGGCTGGGTCCACAAATATGTCATATTCTCCACCTGTCAAGTACTGGGTGGTATGTTGCATCATTAGTCTTCTAGACTGATAGTCAGTCATTGCATTAATCAGAGTTCTTAAGTCTTGCAAAGTTATTTAAATAATAAGTAAAATTAATAAAACCGGTACTTTTTGATGAGCTTGAGGATAAGTCTCTCCAGGCTTAGGAGAGATGCCTTGTTACCTGACATGGCAATATGAGAGATTTGGCACACATAATTAACACATGATGTACTTTTTTGAGTCTCTCTAGTACTTCATAGGTGCTTGGAAAATATCAATTGATTGACTGAAGGATTCACATTGGGTATTTACTGTTTGAAAGAGTCATCTAAGCCCATGACTTTGGCTGACATGCTTGGCCACCCTAAGATGACTGTCCTGGCCCAGTGCTACTGGGTCATGATCTGTTAGCCAATGTTCTAAGAGATAATCAGCCTCAGAAATTGTCACCTGGGGGCAGCTAGGTGGCACAGTGGGTAGAACACGGTCCTGGATTCAGGAGAACATGAGTTCAATTCTGGCCTCAGACACATAATACTTACTAGCTGTGTGACCCTGGGCAAGTAACTTAACCCCATTGCCTAGCCCCCCCAAAAAAAAAGAAAGAAAGAAATTGCCACCTGACTAGCGGCCCAGGATCATAAAATTCTGGGTGGGAGGAAAGAATATCAGTTTGATTCACCTTGCTACCAGTATCTTTGTTTAGAGGGAGGGTAGAATTCCTTCCACTCCCCCACCAAAAAAAATCAAATCTTGATCAATCAAAACACAAATATGGTCTGTAGATTATCCAGTTCTCTAGTTTCTCCTTTAACCACCCAACATCTGCCTTTCTGCAGCTATGTAGCCACTCTGGTAGAGAGAAGGGAGGGTCAAAGAAAAGATCAAATCAAAACAATGATCTTAACATTTTTTGGTGCCAAGGGAATTGTTGGTGAATGGAAGAGATTGACACTGGTGATAAAAGCCAGAATGTGGGATTACCCAGGAGTTCAGCTATTCATGAAGAATCTCCCCAAAACTTCTCTGCAGGCCCACCACCCAGATTGGAAGGCAGGCCAGCTGGACATCAGGGACTGGGCTGGGACACAGTTTCTGGCACTTTTGTGGTGGAGGAGGCTGTGCATTTAGTAGCATCAGGACGTTCTTTAAAGGCTAACTATCAGGATGGCACGCTGGTAGAAACTGGCCCTAGGGGTGTGGAAAGAAAGTTAAGAATCTCACTGAGTCTGTGTCGAGAACAAGAGTGTGAATCATATTAAGATTAACTTTAATAAGAAAAAATGTAACGTGTCATGGATTAAAAATAAAATAAAATTTACAAGTATACGATGGGGAAAACATGGCCAGACAGTAGTTTGGGGTAGGGGAGTAGGGCTTGGTAGGCTACAAGGTCAATATGCATCAACAGTATGATACTGTGGCCAAAAAAAGCTAATTCAATCACGTGTACTCTGCCCTGTTCCATCCATATTGGGAACACTGTGCTCAGATGGGGGCCATACATTTTAAGTACATGGATGGACGCATCCAGAAGAGGGCAACCAGAATTAGGAAAGGCTACAAGATCACACCATGTAAGAGTCAACTGAATGAACCAGGGATGTTTAAACTGAAGAAGGGGAGACATGGTAGTTGTCTTTGAGTATCAGAAGGCTGTCACTTGCTGTACTTGACCTCGGAGAATAGGATTATAAACATTGGACGAAAGGAGCAGAAAGTCTGATTTAGGCTTGATGTTAGGGAAAAATCCCCAACAAACAGAACAATGTCAAGGTGGAAATGGGTGGGCAGCCTTGGGTGGAATGGCTACCCCCTGGAGCACTTCAAGCAAGGCTGGACCCACACTTGCAGGGCATGTTTGTTTGAGAGGACGTTCTTCAGGTACAGGCCAGACCAGAGGGCTTCTGAGGTCTCCTCCAGTTCTGAGATTCTGCCGTTCTGTAATTCTGTGAAGGAGAGGGAGAGAAAACCACAGCATGAATCAGAATCAGTCCAGAGTATTAAAGGCATGCCTTGGATTTATGGAGCCCTTGCCATGATTCTGGCCTGGAGCAAGAAAGCGAAGGGGTGGTTGGGAATGGAGCCCTGATGATTTGGCCCTGAGCCTTACCCTGAAAAACTGCAGGAGGTTGAAGGAGAGCAGAGGCTGCCACACCTCACCTGTGCACTGAGCCCTGAGATACTAGATACAAAATCTTTGATCCTAAATAGGAGCTGATACTTATTTGGATGAGCAATGCTAAGAGAGCGCAGTCAGTTTCTATATAGGAAAATAACTCATTTCTGGAATCCCTCTATTTTCTTATTGGGAAGAGTATGTTTAAAGGGAGTGCAAGCAGGTATATGTAGGTAGAAGCAGTAGTGTAGATGTGACTGCCAGTGTGTATTACACTGTGTTTGAGATACCCCAGCTCTTCATCTCATTCTCAACCCCCAACTTCTACTTTTTTTTTTCTTTTAGTAAAGGCCAGCAATAGTCATCAATGTAGAAACTCCCTCCAGGAATATGGATTAGTAATCTGCCTGCAATTTAGGGAGTTGTCTGGTGGCCCTGAGGGTTTAGGTGGCTCATCCATTGTCACACCACTAATTTATGTTAGGAGCAGGGCTTGAATCCAGGACTTTCTGAATCCAAGGTCAGCTGTTTATGAATGTGCCTTTTGACTTCTCACAAGGTCCTCCTCTTCAAGATTTAAATAATTGAGGGTTGGGTATCTTTTCAAGTTTACAACAGAAATAAAGGAGAAAAGGCATGTTGGAAACCAACATTCTGCTGAATAAGAAGCCTCCCCCTCCTTTCGTCTCAGCGTCTAAGAATATTCTTTGATGCCTTAGTCCGTGGATACACTCCATGGCCCACACCTCTGAGCTCAGGCCTCTCTTATTCTGGAAGGCATGAAATAACTTGCTCCGTGATATGTGTAAGAGTAACACCCTGCAGTGCTGTGCCATCAGCTAGAAGATGAGAGAGAAGGGGCTGCCTTTAGCTTTCTGTGTGTCTCCATACCTATAGGAGTCATCTCTTCTAGAGGGTCTGTCTTTGGTGGGTCAGCGTGGGAGAGGTCTGTATGTTCTTACACTACCAAAGTGAAGAGTTTCTTTCCTGGTGACCTTTCTAACTGATTTGAATTGTGGATGTTTCATTTCTTTGCATGAAAAACATTCCTTTGCCTCTGCCCTTTATGAGCTATGAGCAATGTATTTGCTCACTTTGATGACTCTTCTGTCCCTTGCCAGGTCTTTGTGAGTTTAGCCTGTGTTTAATTGGCTCTCTTAGTACCCATCCGGGAAAATGCTGAGGACATCTTAGAAGCTCCTGGCTTGATGGGCTTAATGAATTCTACTCCCTTTGAAGTGCTGGTGGTCACTCTTTAAGATCAGAAGCTGGAGCCTCTCATCTTTATCCTGTCTTCTATTTTGGTGTAATGTTTACTAATGTTCTAACCAGTAGATAATCTAATTAAACACAAATGATTCCAAAATGACTTAGTGCCAATAACCAGTCATTTGACATCTGTTAAGCTATCGTCAATTTCATTTTTGGTGAATATTGTTTAGAACTCACCATGCTGGACTTGGAGTCAAGAAGGTATGAATTCAAAATTTTCTCAGATACGTGCTGTGTGTGACTGTGGGCGAGTCACTCAACTGTCTTAGTTTCCTCATTTGTAAATCCAAATCCCTAGGTATGAACAGCTTTTCACACTACAAAGCTGCTGTTAGAATTACGGAACCAATTCTGAAATAGCTACCTCTCTGGTTCAGTGTTCTAGACTTGGTTAAATTTTCTAAAGATTATTTGCTCTAATTAGCATGTCATTCATTACTTTAAAGTTATTGTTTTTAGGGTACATTTGGGACTGAAATTCAGATGATCACAAATGAGTGGAATCAGTGGTTCATTACCCTTACCTCAGTGGCAGAGGAGCGGATTGACTAGCACCCCAAGGCCTTCTCATGCCTGTGATTCCAGGTTGTGGGCTTTAGGAATTTCAGGGAAAGGTGGGGTGATCGTCACCAGCCAATACTAACTACAACTGAAATTTGGAAGGAGGTTCAGGAAATTGAGTAAGGTGCCAAAAGGAAGTCTTTGGCAGGAAACATGCGGGCTCTACAGTGGTAGAGATACTCTACTCCCCCACAGTTTCTTAATCAAATAATTAAAGAAAAAAAAATAACACCTTTACTGAAGGGGCCCTGCATTATCTGTCATAGCACACTCAGAGCATGAACTCCTGACAGTCTGGCTCAGATCTCTTTTTTGTGTGTGTCACACTGAGTTTGCTTTAAAAAAAAAAGGCCTAAGAGGATATTCAAATGTTTAAACAATACCTTAGCAATGATTTTTTTTAATCACAAAGTAAACTAGCTCTGTGAAATTCTACTATGCCATCTGACAGTTTTAGCATTATCTTACCTAGAGAATTTAAATGAGTCCTAGCCAGCTAAGCCTTCCATGAAGGCAAAGTGATTGAGATCCACTTCTTCCCAGTAACCTTTTCATCCCCCCTGGCCCTCTGAGGGGTTGGTTTTAAGAGAGATTTTTTTTCTGCCACATGACCTGAACCCCATTGAACTCAGGAATCACCTTAGCTTTGAGCTGATGCCAGTGGAATGATTGTACTGTACTATCTTCGAAGTTCCAGGAAGCCAGAGGAATCAAAACTTCTCCCAGAAACACTTTCCGGGTGAGGGTCCCCAAGTGCCACGCGGAGACCTGGAGCAGCCGGGTCTGCAGCTGGGAATACTCCACACGATACTGAAAAACAGCAATATGGGAGAATGTCCTCCACCTGTCTCTTTGCAGCCAGGAAGGCACACATAATACCATATAGCCACACAACACAAAGAACAGTGCTGAGAATAGAGAGGAACACAGGGAATTGTTCAAGATTCAGGCATGCTATTAGAGTCTAAAGAGAGAAGCTGCCCAGGGCCTGCCTGTACAATGATTCTGAAACACAAACAGTCCCACGGCTTCCCGGGTGTCAAATTTCCATTCCAGACTTGTACAGTCAAACTCTCGATCTGGAAGAAGCCCAGCTTTACTGTACTGAATTGGCATCTTCTGCTTAAAATAGGACTATTTGCTCTGGCACCCAGGGTGAGGTTCTTTCCTGGCAAGTCCTAGGAATCCAATCCAATCAAATGAGCATTTATTAAGCACCTTCTAGGTACAAGATTGCTCTAAGATCTCACTTCTGCCCTACAATGTGTTAGCTATCCCTTCCTGATTTTGTGCCATCCATAAATCTGGTAACCATGGCATCTATACCTTTATTCAAAGCACTGATAAAAATGTTGAACAGAATGGGATGAGGGGCAGAACTCCATGGCATGAAACTACAGGCCTCTCTCTAGTCCAATGCTGATCTATTAATCAGTTTCCTAGGTCTGGGTATTCAGCCTGAGCATACCTAACTGCTATAATTTAGCCCACATCTTCCCATCAAAATTAGTTGAAACCTGGGGTGGGGGGGTGCCATTCATTATCTGCAGAAGAAAATTTTCTACAGATGTCACTTAACTTCTCAGAACCTGTTTTCCCATCTGTAAAATGGGGGAAATAATATTTGCATTACTTACTTCACAGGGTCATGAGGAAAGCACTGTGTAAAGTGTTACATCCATGAGTTGCTATTCTTATTAACATGTACCTCACGTATCGTGTATTCTTTTTAACATGTATCTTATTTAACATGTATCTCCATTCACACAACACACTGCTTCTCTGATATTCACCAAGATTCAACAAGTCAAAGGATTTTTTTTAAACTTGTCCCTAGCCCAGTTCAGAGATAGATCATGGGGTCCAGCCAGGTTCTCTTTTTCACCCTTTCCCCCCACAGAAATCATTAACTAAACATTGTTCCCAAGTTCAATGGACACTGCACTTTTCCTGAACAAAGGCTCAAATTTATTTTTTCCCCAACTTGCAACTTATTGACAGAGGTTTACAGATATCTATGTATAGGTTGTTGGTGGAGTTTTGTTTTATTTTGTTTTTTAAATTTTAATTTAACTAACCCACGGACTTGGTAAAACCCATTAGTTTGACTTTGACCATGCAAATATTGGGCCCAGAGTAGCAAAGGGGCCAAAGCCTTTGAATGAATGTTGACCTGCCTGTACCTTCAAAGTCTCATGAAAGAGAGGATCCACAGTGTTCTTTTTGACACTTGTCTTCCTCTTGGCCTGAGAGCCTCTATCAGGTAGCAGATAGGTCTTTATATAGCTGAGGACCAAAAAAGGTAAGAAGAAAGAAAAAGATCAGGATTTCTTCTACGTGACATTCCAAAAAAGTTGAACACCACGTAATGAATGGCAAACCTTCTCTTCCTGCCCCACTCCCCACCCCCTGGTCCTTAACCCTTGTCTTTTGCTTCTTGAAACCTTTTCACATTTTTAAAGTAAATTTTAAGCTAAAGGGTGTAATTGGTGCCCCGAAGGATACATTTATCTGTATAAACTGTGTGTAACTTGAAGCCCATTGGGTTTCAAACTTATTTTAGCTAAACTTGGATTGAACAAAACTCTTTGAAACGTTTTCTATGTAACACACGCATACAGAAACACCTCACGTGATGCCTTCCAAAGGGAATGTACATTGTGTGGGCTGTCTGTTCTCCTAGTCTGACCTATTTTTTTTTTAATGTTTTGTTGATATTCTTTTTTCTCCCACCCAGTCACTTCCTAATGATTCCCCCAATATTGACCCCCCCCCGACCCTTTCTATATAACAGTGAAATGCAAATTACTCATCGTCGTGCCTGATAGCATATGTCTCATTGCACTCCTTCAGTGCACCATCTCTCTGACAACAGGCAGAAGCAGGTCATGCGGTTTGGACAACACCTTACTTACTTATTTGTTCTTGCAAATACTCAGGATTTAACATTAGAGAAACCAGGAGCTCATCAATTTCATTGTAATTATTATAATTTTACTTTATATATATTTATATATACTTACATATTTATTTTCTATATATTTTATATTTGTATATAATTTTATACATAATTGTATATATTTTATATACTTTATTGTATATACATTTATAAAAGTTTGTATCCTGTTTTCTTTGCCTTATAAATTAAAAGAAAAAATACAGGGGCAGCTAGGTGGTACAGTAGATAGAGTAACAGCCCTGAGTTCAAATCCAGCCCCAGACACATAACACTTAACTGTGTGACACTGGGCAAAGTCACTTAACCCCAATTGCCTCACCAAAAGAAAAAAGAAAAAGAAAAAATGCACTCAAAAATACTACCTGGTATCTACACAGTGCTTCAAGGTTTGCAAAGAGCTTTATACCAGTTAACTCATTTGATTCTCACAATCCTATGAGGCAGGTGCTATAATTATCCTCATTTTACTGATAAAGAAACTGAGGCAAAGAACCATTAAATGACTTGTCCATTGGTTACACAGTTAACATCAGGGTCAAGATGTGAATTCTGGTCTCTCCTGACTCCAAATTCATCACTTTTTCTATTTGTGATCCTGCTTAATGCTGAAAAGGTATTCACTCTGATATCAAAGGATAAAAGAAAATAACTTCCCAATCAAAGAGTACAGTGAGGAGTATGAAGGATTATTCTAGCAAGGATGGTGGTCAGCTGTTTCCCCTTCCTCACACCCCCACAGAAGACCCAGTGAGGGCAAACTACAACATAAGAGGTTTCAGTAGATGAAGAACTGCTGACCACATGTTTACTAAGGAATGCTGTAGAATCTCCTCTGGGGTTTTTTAGAAGAGAATAAATTCTCATCTGTCTGGGAGTGACTATGCCTGGGGGACTGCGGGGGAGGACAGAGAGTTGGAGGCACAGACCCACATGCATACCCTTACCCTCAGGCTCCAGCTCCCCCAGCTACTCATACAGAGACTACTGGGGACACATAATTAGAGCCAAGCACATCTCTATCAGCGCTCTGTTCCTCACCATGCCCAAAATGCTGAGTGACTCTGTGAGGGCTGGCATTAGGAGCCAGGTCACTCCACAGGTTATCATTCCAATACTCTTTGAGTGGAGGTTCCCCTGAGGGAGCAAGGCCAGAAATGCACCCTCAGATTGTTCAGGGAATTCACACCCAAAACACCCCACAACTCATGGGCACTAATTCACATATTTTAATGAATATACCCTTCATCAAAATTTCACTACTAGCACACACCTGCTTTTGCTCAGAATTGCTCTGTCTGATTCCACACACACTCTGTCTTCTTCTCAATCTCCTCACAATGCACAATGTCCAGTCATCATAAATACCCAGAGACAGCTTCCAACCATAAGTCTCCATCAATTACCAGTGAACAGAGGACTTCAGCTACCATTCTTATAGCTGGGAGCACTGGGCAAGATGAGGTCAATTAGTTGCTATTATGGACAGCTGTAATTCCTCCTCAGGGACTAGTTGCTTGCCTTTCAAGTTGGGTGTCCCTAAAGTCTAAAGGTAGGGCTAGAAGACTGAGGCTTAAATTTTTCCAGCAATTGCCTTCAAGCCACTAAAAACATAAGGGGCCACTGCTATTTTTTAAAATCTCAGTTAAGAGCTTTATAAGAGTTGATAATCCCCCTACATCTCAGGCTTAAAACAAAAAACAAAGGAAGATACAGGAGTCCTCAAAGTATGGTCTGGGGATCCCTGGAGCACCAAGATACTTTCAGGGGGAACATGAGATTAAAACTATTTTTATTATAATACTAAGACATTTAATTTCTAATATGATAAATATCAATAGGTATAACCCACATAAACAAATGCTATTGCTGGGGGCAGTTCAATAATTTTCAAGAGTGTAGAGAGGTCCAGCAACCAAAAAGTTTGAGAACCACTGATATGGGGTATAAAGGAAAGAGGTCAGAGAGGAGAGGAAGAATATTTTTCTTTACCATCATATGAAAAAACAACAATAGCAACTTACGGATTGCATTTTTTCTTCTTTTCTTCTCCAAAGGCTAGGTTCCTACAACCTTTGATGCAGATTTCTAATGTAGAAGCCTTAAAGTCGTACTGAAGGGAGAATAGTATTTCTCCAGTTACATCAGCATTGTCAAAACTGCCCACCTCTGTACAAGTGCTGCTAATGCTCACCAAACTTCCCTGGAAAGAAAAAAATGGATAACAGAAAATGAATCTGCTCCACCATAGTCAACTTCGCATACTTCCTGATTTCAATATATCAAGTAAATCAAAATTAACAAAACCAATAGAGCCTAATGCTATTACATGTCAAAATGCCGCTATTTTATCTGTATTTGGCTAAAAATGACATAGTGCTACCCCAAGGTCTGGGCCTCAGACACACCTGAAGCTGGAAAGGCTGAGTGTCAATGACCTCAGGCTACTTCCAAAGAACCACGGTTTAAGTGGGACTTTGACATGCTCATGGCCTACCCTTTTCAATCCACCTGAGTCCTCCACAGTAATAGTCTTTACTTAGATCTCACTGTAATAGTTAACAGCCAACATTTATACAGCACAAGGTTAGAAAGGCCAAGGTCTCCCACGGCCTCCTGGGCCATGTCCAGTCGTCCTGATCTATATCTGGCCACTAGACCCAGATGGCTCTGGAAGAGAAAATAAGGCTAGTGACCTTGCACAGCCCTCCCTCACTACAATCCAATTCATTTGCAAGTCATGGCATCATCTTCCTGACATCATGGTTCTCTTTGAGAACGAAGGACAAACCACACAATACAGCACTTTGTATTGAACCTCATAACAATTTTGTGCAGAAGATAGTATTTCCCATTTCACAGGTGAGGAACTGGGTTCCAGAGAAATGAAATGATTTGCTATGGGTCATATCCATAGGGTAATGGGCAGCTAGGTGGTACAGTGGATAGAATGCCAGGCCTGGAGTCAGGAAGATTGATCTTCCTGACTTAAAATCTGACCTTAGACACTTACTAACTGTGTGACCCTGGGCAAGTCACTTAACCCTGTTTGCCTCAGTTTCCTCATCTGCAAAATGAGCTGGAGAAGGAAATGCCACACCACTCCAGTATCTCTGCCAAGAAAAATCAAATAAGGTCATGAAAAGTTGGACACAACTCAGATGACTCAACAACAATGACAACAAAGATGGGATAACAAGTGTCTCAGGCAGCATTTGAACTCAGGTTCTCCTAACTGCAATTTCAGTATGTTTTTCTATCCTCTATGCCACCTGAGAACAGGGATCATGCTTTTGTTGTGCCTTCCTGTTTGTCTCCAGTACTTAGTGTAGTTCCGAGAACATAGTGGGCAATTAATAAATCCTACTTGATTGATTATACTATCATTTATAATTATGCAATCTCTAGGATTCTGAATTATGAAATCCCCCTCTCTGCCCATATGCATAGCTTATTCCACATCTATATCTCACTTTTCCTAAATCTATTCTTCACCCTTGCCCCCTTATCCTATTGCCAGTATTGCCCTGCCAAGCTTCAGCCTTGGGTCATTACCACCATGCACTGTCTTCACCCCTCCTCATTTGCTGCCAAAGAAAAGCTAGAGAAAATCATGAAACCTATGCTGACTGGATCCGTTACAAATTGATGTCATGTAATCTCAACTGAGCCCTCACTGCAGCAAAGCCCTCCTTTTATACCTGACTGACTCACTATCCTACTCGCCATGGTGGCTTTTCCAAATCTCTTCATGCCTTCTCAAACCTACCATAACTCCTCTCCCCCTATCCTCTCAGCTGAGAACCTGGCCTTATATTTCAGTAAAAAAAATTGAGGTCACTCTCCACTAGCTTCTTCTTTTCCTCTCTTCCTCATCTCATCTCACCCAGATATCTTCTGCCACTGTCTCCTTCTTCACCCATCTCACATGAATTGGTGACCCTTCTCCTTACTAAGTGCACAAGTGATCCCATTCCATCTCCTCTTCTCCAGTAGATTGACCCCTTTATCAACCCTCCTCCTTCACTTATCTTCAGTCTCTCCCTGTCTACTGGCTGTTTCTATATAGCCTACAGTTGTGGCCATGTCTCCTCTATCCTCAAAAATATGCTCACTTGATCCATCCATACCTGCTAGGTAGCATTCCATATCTCTCCTCCCTTTCTAAACTTTCTAAACTCCTTAGGAAAGCTATTTCTATAATAGGTACCTCCACTTTCTCTCTTCTGTCTTCTTAACTCTCTATAGTCATCGTTTCATCATTCAACCAAAACTGCTCTCTCCAAAGTTACTAATGATACCTTAATTGCCAAATCTAATGGTCTTTTTTTGCTATCCTCATTTTTCTTGGCTACTCTGTAGAAAAGGCGACCACTCTCAGTCACCTTCTCCTTGACATTCTCTTGTCCATAGGTTTTCATGACCTCTTTCTCCTGATTCTCCTCCTTCCTATCTGACCATTCTTTCTCAGTCTCCTTTGCTGGAACTTCTCAAGGTGACACTGTGCCTGCTAACCCGTGCATGTCCCTCAAGGCTTTGTCACGGGCCCTCTTCTCTTCTCTCTCTATACTGTTTGAGTTGGTAATCTCATCAGCGTCTATGGATTCAGTTGTGATCTGCATGCTGATGGTTCTCCAATCTACTTGTCAAGCCCTAACCAGTGTCACATCTCCAACTGCCATTGGACATTTCAAAGTGGATGTTTTCTAGACACCCGGATTTCAACATGTCCAAAATTGAACTCATTATTCCCCACCCCCACCCCTACTTCTCCCTGACTTTCTTATCACTGTCGAGGGTACTGCCGTCCTCCCAGTTACCAGGTATCACTCTTGACTCTTCACTCTCTCACCCCATTTCCCCGTAGCCAATCTGTTGCCAAGGTTTTTACCATTGTAATATCTCTTGGATATGTTCCCTTCTCTCTTTTGATACTGCCACCATCCTGATGAAGGCCCTCATGTCTAGCCTATTGCTAGTTGGTCTCCCTGCCACAAATCCCTCCCCTCTTCAGCCCATCCTCCACTCAAGCTACCAGAATGGTCTTCCTAAAGTTCAGTTCTGACTATGTTATCTTCATTCTCAATACACTCCAGTGGCTCCCTATCCCCTCCCAGTTCAAAGCTCTTTATAACCTGTCCTCCCTCACCTTTCCTTGCTTCGTACACCTCATGCTCTGCCTTTACTCTGCAATCCAGAGACACGGGTCTTCTTGCTGGCCCTTGAATAAGATGTTCCATCTGGGCCTTTCCACTGTCTGTCTCCTTTGCCTGGAATGATCCCCCTCATATCTTCCCTGGTTTAGTCTCAGCTAAAATCCCACCTTCTATAAGGAACTCTTTCTCAATCCCCTTTAATTCTAGTGCTTTCCTTCTGTTAATTACCACCAATTTCTCCTGTGTACAGCTTATTTATACATAATTGTTTGCGTACTGTCTCCCCCATTAGATTGTGAGCTTCTGGAGAGCAAGGATTGTATTTTACCTTTCTTTGTACCCCCAGTGCTTAGCACAGTATCTGACACATAGCAGGAGCTTAATAAATGTTCATTGACTGATTGACTAATCCTCCCCATGATATCCTATATCCCTCCCTGTTCTCTCTGCTCATCAGTCCGTAACCCCTGCTTTGAATCCTCTTTCAACCCTTGCCAGTCTCAATCCCATTCAATGTATGGTTAAACAATGTTAGGGTCTTCCATCCTCTATCCCTTTGTCCCCTTGTCCTTCCACCATACATGCCCTGCTAATGTTCAGCCCTGCATCATCCCCAACCTGGATCACCCATTCTCTGCTCCTTCTCCCAAGCTTCTCGATGCTGTTAGAATAAAGCATGTAATAGTATCAAGTAGGTATACTATCAGTTCAGGCTGTCTCATCTCAGCTGGGAGCTCAGTGATGCACATCAATGCCTCGCTCTCTAACAGCAGCTCCAGTTCTTCTCTTCACTCCTCAAGCCCCCCATGCCACCTTCAGGCCCTTCTCCCTCAGCAAATGCGCTTGCCTGCTACTTTACTAAGAAAATTGAAGTCGCGCTATCTTATAGCCCGTACTCCACACCTCAAAACCCTTCTGCGTTTTCATCCATTCTTTCTTCCTTTACTCCTGTCTCTGAGGTAGATTTGGCCAATGAAGGAGTTGGCATGAAAGGTGTTTATTACAGAGTAAAAAAGAGGGTAGTGTATACAATGAGGCAGTCTGGAACTCTTCTATTCAAGCATTATGTTAATAACAAACACTAAAACTGAATATATTTAGAGAGCTTTTTTTTATATACATCCATTTACCATGTGGTACAAGGTATCCCTTAGAAATCATGTCCTATAAGCTAAATTCATTCTAATAGTTTACAATAAGCTTGTAGCAAATTCTGTATCACTAAATAGATGTTGGTTTTTAATGCATAATACTTTAAAAATGTCATGGTTTGGGTTGCTTCTGAATACTTAATTACTTGATTTGAACAAGGAAATGGGACAAAGAAGATCAGCAAGACAGGCCTGTTCTAGGATTTTTAATATTCAATTTGTCAGGGGCAGCTAGGTGGCACAGTGGATAGAGCACTGACCCTAAAGTCAGGAAGACCTGAGTTCAAATCCAGCCTCAGACACTTGACACTTACTAGCTGTGTGACTCTGGGCAAGTCACTTAATCCCATTGCCTAGCCAAAAAAAAATTTAATTTAAAAAATATTCAATTTGTCTACTTTCACATCATCTCCAATTAGCTGGTACACATAAGTGACAACTGTAAAAGCCTGGATATCCATCAATACAAATGAAGGGATGGTGTTTGTTTCCAGAGCATTATAGCCTCTGGTGGCAAATCGTGGATGAAAGTAGAATTGATTTTCATGTTCAAAGGCCTGAAATATGTGTGTGTGTGTGTGTGTGTGTGTGTGTGTGTGTGTGTCCTGAAATGAGAATGTTAACATCAAACTGCCTTTGCAGCAATGCTAAGCTGGCCATATCACCCCATGGAATAATTTGATGTCCAAGGATCAAACCGATTTTGAACTGCCCAACAGTTCTGGATAATTCAGATTCTCATCAAAATTTCCTCTAACAAAGTGAACATCCCCAGGTGCAGTCTCACAATAGTCATAACTTTTGTTTGGTGCAAAGGTTTTCAGTACAGATAAATGCTGAATGTTTTCCAGGCACCAGCAGGTTTTTGAATTTGGATGGCTGACTGTTGCATCAGCTGGGGATGTACAGATCTCCTAACGCTAACACCAACATCCTGTCACCAGCCCCTCTCTGCCACCACAACCGTCACTGCCGTCTCCTTCCAACCCTCTATTTTTACTTTCAATCACGTACCTTCTCATCCCTACCAGGAGCTTGCCCCACTGATCATTCCCTCTTCTCTCCTTCATTTTCACTCTCATCTTAACTCCTGGCTGGCTCCTTTCCTACTGCTACCAGACATGCTCAGGTTTATCCCATTGCTAAGAAGTATTCCTTTGATCTTGCCAAAGTACTGTCACTTATCTCTTCTCCCTTCCATTACCAATCTCTCAGAAATAATTGTCTATACACACTTCCTCCACTTCCTCACTGCCCATTATTAATTTATTTTTAATGTTTTTTCTTTTCAGTTGTGGTCATAACACATGCATATGCTTCTCAACCTTTTACAGTCTTGTTTCTGACCACATCATTCAACTGAAACTGCTCCATTCAGACAAGGTTACCAAGGATCACTTTACTGCTAAATTTGGGGATCTTTTCCCAGTTCTAAGCCTCTTCTAGCCTTCTGTATTTTTTGCTGCTGTTGGCTATCCTTGCTCCTGTATATTCTCTCCTCCCTTTGAATTTGTGACATTGATCTTTCCTGGTTCTTCTAGTTATCTCAAGATTTTCCTTTGTTGGGTCATCATGCCTTCTGACCTCTTAGCACGGATTGCCCCATGCCATCCTTTCCTTCTTTCTCTCTACCCTCTTCCTTGGAATTCTCATCAGTTCCCTTGGATTCAATGATCAGCTCTATGAAGATGGTTCCCAAATCTATATGTCTAATTTCTCTCCTGAACACTAGTTCCACATTATGAACTAATTGCTCGACATCTTCCCCCAACTCTTCTCCATTGGCATCTCAAACTCAGTATGTCTAAAATGAACTCATTGGATTCCCCCCAAATCCAATTCCTTCAGAATTCCCTGTTTCCTAGGATAGCACCACCATCCTTCAAATTACCCAGGTTTGCAACCTTAGAATTATCCTAGGCTTCCTCATTTCCCTCAGCCGCTATAACTCACTGCCATATCATATCAGTTGTATTGGGTTAAAATCTGCAAATAAGCATGACATATGGGATGGATTTCAGCACAGCTGCTTTGGTTATTAAACCAAGGTAAATACAAGCTGCTAAGTATGAGCACATGCTGCCCCCCGGGGGTCCTGTGGTCAGTGGTACTAATTCCAGCAATTCGAATTCTTAAATGTCACAACCTAAACACGCCTCCAGGTTTTCTGGTTCTACCCTCTTCCTACACAGAACAGAGCATGCCACAATATGCTACATAAAAAATGAAGTGGCAGCTAAGATTGCCCTCAGTTGTTTACAGTAATAAGCTCTCTCAGGCTGGATAGAATACTGCACAATGACAAAAAAAAAAAGACTGTCTACAGCCTATTAAGAATTCATGCTAATGACTTCCAGGGGTTGGGGAAGAGAGGACGTCCCAAGAAGTTACTGCATATGATACTCCTTATTGGCAGCTAGATGACCCAGTAGATAGAATGCAGGATTTGGAGTCAGACAGACCTGAGTTTCAGTTCTGCCTCAGACACTTGCTAGCTGTGACACCTTGGATGAGTCATTTAATCTCTCCTCGCCTTGGTTTTTTCATCTGTAAAATGGGGATGATAGTAATAGCACTTACCTCACAGATGTGTTGTTAAGATCAAATGAAATATGTGTAAAGTGCTTTGCAAACCTTAAAGCTCTATATGAATCCTAGCTATTATTATTACTTTCAAAATCTATGCAATACCTCCTCACATTCATCTCCACCTTGCCTTCCACCCCCACATATATACTTTTCTGTTTAAAGAAGGAAAGTTAGAAGTTGGAAAAAACCTTAATGAAAAGGAATCTGTCAAGACCTGGTGATTTCATCTGTGATCTCTCTCTATACCTTATCGTTTTCGAGAGTCACCTGAGGCTCAGAGTAATTAAGGAATTTGCCCAGGGACACACAGCTAATAAGGCAGCATTTGAATCCAGGTGTTCCCAACTCTAAATCTAGCAGCAGCCACTGTGCAAATCCTACCTCTGCAATAGGAAATCATAGCCACTAAGAAATGTGAAGACTAGAAATGCAACAACAATGCATAGTAACCTTGTATCAAAAATGGACATCACATCAGCCTCGTCTGCTTGGAAAAATATAAATGCTTCCTAAGCAGCTTGCTGTCAGGATGGCAGCTATTATAAATCTTCAGCACTGGGTTGAATCTGATTTCATAGCATCTCCCCAGCTGGGTACATGCTGGGGATGGGCTTAGCAGCAATTTGAGCCGCATTATAGACTAATACAAACACTTTAATGCACCTTCACCCGCTTCCTCCAATCAGATATCCCCAAGCACTTCAATATGGCTGGAGTAAAGAAGTTTACTGAATCCAAACGAGATTTTACAAAGCCATACTGTAAATATATTAAATACAGAGGGTAATCTCTGGACCTCAGCAGACATCCTCTCTCAACATAAAATATTGTGACAAAAAATACCACACGACAACCACACGCACACCATCACAACTTGGCGTTCACTGATCTCTCTAAGTAATTAGAATGCTGATTTTCTGAAACTAGTCAGGGGCTCTGAGCTGTACATTTTTTGCTGGTAAATTCAGCCAGCCAGAATATTTTCTCCATCAATCAACCAACAAGCATTATTTAAAGCAAGTAGCATGTGTCAAGAACTGTGCTAAGGACTGGGGATGTGAAAACAAATGTCAGACAGTCCTTGACCAACAGGATGCTTACATTCTAATAGGTGGACACAGTATGTACAGAACAGCAGAGTCCAGGGAAGGTACTTTTGTTCTACACAGCCACAGAGATCTTGGAAGGAGCCATTGGGCACAAGATTGTCATAACTTTTCCGGTAACAATGGTAGTATTGATTTGATTATCACTCTCAGAGTAAGAGCCAGACATGGAAAGGGGTGGATGGTAGAAATGGAAAGATGTTCATGCTGGGTAGGTCTAGGTTTCCTCACAGCTGGCTGGGTGTGATGAGAAATAGGGTGTGGATCTGGCTATATACAGTGGTTGAGATGAGTTTTCACTCACTGCTAGTTCATTCCTAGCCCAGGGCAGAGTCCCAACGTGGAGGAAGGAGACAGAGGTGGAAAAAATAGTACACAGAGAGAGGAAAATGTGAATTATATGAAAACGTTCAGGTAGGATATTTTTCGATTGATTTTTTAAAGAAGAGGATATAAATATATTTGGGAATTAGGCAGAGATTTAATTACATCTAGTTGGTACTTAATGTTTCTGGGGTGATTAAATGATTAAACAAATAAAAATAGTTTTCCTCCTCCCCTCAAGGATCCTGAAAAGTCACTCATGTGGTACTCGGTTCCAACAAACTTCTAATCAATGTTTCTATCCAAAAGCTTAATAACCTGTCCAAATTAATTGATGCTACCACAGTTTGAACTGTGCTCACATAGTATAATTTTAAGCTTTAAGCTTTACTAGCTTCAAACCGCAGTAAGATTTTGAGGACATACTGTATAATTCGGGTAGGTACTCCATATCGACAATGAGCTGAGTTCAGAATGGAATAGTTGGAAGAGAATGGTCTAGAATACATTTTGGGAATTGCATAATACTTTCAACAATACCAAGCAGACATACAACCCTATCTTTTTAACTCCAGTGTTATCCTGGTGATGCCACATGGCTGCTAATCTTGAAACAAACTGAAAATCTCTCTTCTAGTACTTAACTAGCTATGGAACCATAGGCAAGTTGGCTAACCTCTGTGAGCCTCAGTTTCCTTATCTGTAAAATGAGCATAATAATAACTATATTGCCTGTCTCATGGGATTGCTGTAAAGGTCAAAGGAGAAAACATAAGTCAAATGCTTTGCAAAGCTTAAAGGCGAACAAACATTTATTTAATACCTACTATGTGGTTGGCACTGTGCTAAGCACATTATAAATATTATTTCACTTGAGCCTCACAACAACCCTGGGAGGTAAGTGCAATTATTATTTCCATTTTGCTGATGAAACTGATGCAGGCAGAGGTTAAGTGACTTGCTTAGGGTCACACAAGTCATAAGTGTCTCAGGGCACATTTGAACTCAGAGCATCTAGAATCCTGCCAAATAGCTATGTAAAGGTCAGATACTGCTATCTTGCTCTCCCTTTTCAACAGAGATCAGCCAGAAATGGTCTTGGGATAAGTCACTCGCCTGACATTATTCTTTAATATTTAGTGTTTGGTGAGGCATTGTACAGGGGAATGAAATGACTGGTTTTTTGTAATTTATGTATTGGGATTTAAGCTCACCTTCTATAGGTTCACTGGAAGCATCTTTGGGATTATCATTATCATTATTATAGTCATTATCTGGTACTACTTCACCCACACTATGACAAGTGGGCATCCCACAATGGTCAATACTTTATTAAAGTTTTAACACCTTCTAGTCCTAATATAATACAATGCAAACTCATTAAAACGTTGGTGTTAGGTGTTATCATTATTATTGCCCTTTCTAGAGACAAGATTAAGAAAAGTTAAGCCACTTACTTAAAGTTACATGGTTAGTAAATGTCAGAGCCGTGGCTAGGACCCAGATCTTCTCATCTTAGTCACTTCCTACTGATATGGCATGGAAAAGCATGGGAAAGTTGTTTATTCATTCTGACTGAAAGAAAGTACTGACTTCTAGGTTTCATTCAGTCTATATATGAGGTCACAACCCAATTATATCCCCTGCATCCCAACTTCAGCTTGACACTGTTATGCTATTCATATGTCACATGCCAACCACCTTAAATCAAAACTCACACGTTTGATGCCACCAGAGAACATGATGCTATGAGAAGAAGTGGGTAAAATATTTTCTTGCTCCAAAATGGGATTAATAAAGTTTTCATCATCCTCTTGGTTGACGAGTTTAAGATGATCTGTTACGCTGACAGTCTGAAAAAGAAAAAAAAATCACTGATCATATGGTTCACCTACCTGTTTGCTTTTGTTCAAATGTTTGGTGAGCACAGGAAAACACGCACTATGTATATACTATGTACAACCTGTTCATCAATGTGGTAATAATAAATATCTTAGAAAGTAGCAAATAGGGGAATCATTGGGAGTGTCTATAAACCATCTACTAAGATAGAGGAAATAAGATGTTGAATTAATAAGAGCATTATAGAGGCCAGATACAGTGGTAATAGAGGACATTAGCTACCTGATAAAAATCACATTAAAAATAAAGAATTTGATGATTCTCTGAAAATTTTATCTCTCAGAGAGGCAGTGTGGTACAGTGGATAGAGAGCTGGACGTGAAGTCAGTAAGACCTGGGTTCAAATCCCACCTCTAAAATTTCCATTAGGCAGTTAGTGATGCAAGACTGGAGTTCACCAGGAAAAGACTTGGGCTAGACGAATAGCTCCATGAATCATCTGTGGACAAATCATCATTAACCCCAGGGGATCCCATGAGGTCACCACATGAGTATAACAAAAGAGGATAGCGCCCAAGGTAGAGCATTGGCAGACATTCACAATGGATGCTGAGACAGCAAAGGAGACTGAAAGACTAGTCAGACAGGAGAACCGAAAGAGAGCAGTCTCCCAAAAGCCCAGACACGGGAGCATGTTGGTCAACAGTGTCAAATGCAGTGTCAAAATGAGTTAACACGTAAAGCTCTTTGCAAGCTTTAAAGTGTTATATAAATGCTGTTGTTACTGTTATTATTATCATTATTATGTAGAAGAGAGGTGAGGAGGGATGAAAACTGAGAAAAGGTCATTATTAGTCTAAATATATTGTAGAATATTGATAAAAAATTATTTGATTTTAATAAAATCTCTATCCTCTAATAGCAATCAACATAGATTTGAGACTTTTCCATATAAAGGTAGACTTTAGAGGTAGTCATGGAAGCAAGAAGATCAGGAACAATAGTCAACACTGACCCTCTCCCTCCTTGAGCCGCCATCTTAATGTTTCTTTGTGAAATGAACACTGGACAATATCTCAAGAAAAACAAGACTTGGATTGTCCACTAAAGTTCTCTGAGTCATCGATAAATCACAATCTACTGGTACAACCCATCTCATAAGCCTAACAAAATGATTAATTGACAGATGGTATAGTGGAAAGAACATTGGTTTCATACTCAAGGGACTGAAATTTAAATTCTGTCTTTGCCACTGTGTGATCACTGTGTGATCTTGGGCAATTCACTTCCCTCTGAGTCTCAACTTCCATGAAGCTTAGTATCAGTCCCTTTCCTATCCCCATTTCTATTTGCTGTTCTGCCTTTAATCTGTGGGCAGCAAGTGAAAAGAAAGGACCTTAGGAGTCAGGCAATATTGAGTTATATGGACTTGGAAGATTCTAATCATATGTATTTTTGATATTCTATTGTACATCCTTGAGCATCTCAAGTACTGCATTACCTGGCCACATTCCCTACCATCTCTTTAAAATGAAGATCACATTTCAAAGAAAAATAGAAGGATGAGTCCACTGGAGAATCTAGACTGACGTGTATTGGTGATCATCTTGAATTCACATCTTAGAATGTGTATGTGGCTTCTAGTGATTGAGAAAGTGAGTGAAGGTGATGAATATTGGTCTACCTTTCCCAGTTATTATCTCTAATTCACAGAGTAACCTTTGGCAGGTGGCTCAAAATTTCTGTGCTTTTGTTTACCCAGCTGGAAAGTGGACACCAATGTACATACCTCGCAGGGATACTGTGACTTACAATTAATTTTGGTGAGATGTTTCAAGATTCTTCAATGAAAGGACCTGTGTGAGTGTGATATTAATAAAGGTGCACTAGTTGCATTTTAGCCCAAATGATAATTATTTAGCATTTATAAAACATTTTGTGTCCACATGTAATCTGCTTTACAACTGCTTTGCTAATCTATTCTTCAACACAGTTATCTCCCCATTTTATGGGTAGGGATATGAGGATACTCACAGAATAGGTAAGATGTGGACATTGTCTGAATATAAAAGTGGCCTGGGCAGGGGGTGAAACAGAGCAGTCTCTATTGCTTGATTAATGAATATTGACAACTGCTCACTATGTTTTTGTCTTGTGACCTTCCTCCATTATGACTCACCAGACCTGTTCTGGGGTAGGGGGCACCAGGGCCCTTTCATGTAGCACTTTTACATATCTTTGACAATGCTCCTATTCCAAAAAGACAGCCCTCTCTTATAACAATAAATAATACCTAGGCTAGTATATGTTAAAACAATATTGTATTTGATTTTCAGCAACATGTTCACATTGCTGAAGGCATCAGGATCATAATTTCGAAAGACAAACTTTCAGATGCTGAGAATTGGACCCATCGCAAAACATGCTATGAATGCAAAAATCATGAAGTGACATGAAAATATGAATGGAAACTAATTATTAATCACTCCATTCTTATCTTTTTCAATGGAGTTTGGGTAAAAGTGGCCCAAAAATAGGTCTCTATTTTGCTATTCTTTTAAATTTAATATTCTGTGGACTTTTGCACAGATGCATAAAATAGCTGCTTTTTGTAATTGAATGAAAGTACTAGGATGTAAGCTCTTCTTCTGTAGGCTCATTGAAACCATCTTTGAGAAAACTCCAATTGCAGAAAGGATGGTGGGGGTAATATGTTCTCCACTCTGTGGCTCTGACATCTTCCCTTAAGTCTCTATATTTCCTGGAACTCGCTCAGTATGCAGATAGGACCCCAGGAGAGACTGTTCCCTTGGGTCCCTTGTCTTTGCTGTGAATCTGTGACCCAGAACTGGGTAGTGAGTAATAGAGCTTCCAGCTGGTAGACATTCCTACAGCCTGTGCTAATTCAGGAATTCTCTGGGATCTCCTCCTGCATCAGTGTCCCCTACTCTAGTGCCCACTCTCAGCGCTCTCTCTCTCTCTCTCTCTCTCTCTCTCTCTCTCTCTCTCTCTCTCTCTCTCTCTCTCTCTCTCTCTCTCTCTCTCTCTCTCTCTCTGTCTCTCTGTCTCTCTCTCTCTCTCTGTCTCTGTCTCTCTGCTCTCTGTCTGTCTGTCTGTCTGTCTGTCTGTCTCTCTCTCTCTCTCTCTCTCTCTCTCTCTCTCTCTCTCTCTCTCTCTCTCTCTCTCTCTCTCTGTCACTGGGTTCTAGAAGGTTCTGAAACAACACAGTCCTGGCTAGACCCTGTCCCCAGTGTCCTCAGACCTCTGTGTCTGACTCCCTAAGTCTTCCTGCCCTGGAAAAATAATGCACTGTTACTTTTCCTTGGATTTATTGATTAGAATTTGGTCTGGTTAGTTTTCTAGATCTTTATGAAGAAGATTTGGTGGGTGAATTTCTCCCTCTTACTTTACCATGTTGACTTTGCCTCAGGTCTCTATATTTTGAAAGCTTTTCATTATACGTAGCTTAGAAATTGTTAGCATTTTATATGCTAAAATCTATTATTTCAATTAATGAAAAAAACATTCTTATTATATTGCTTGATGGATTTCAGATAGAAAGAGACCTGGAACAAGTCACTATCATACTATTATTCTGCAATGATCTAAAAGTCTGGACTCTCTAGGATAATCTTTCAATAATTTCTGATCGCAATGACCTGATCCTCAATCACTATCATATTACCCAACATTTGTGAATAAATCTCCAAGACTCAGGCTTTTGTTCAATACTTCATTGTTGATAGATTGTTGTCTGAGTTCATATCAATGCAACTCATAAAGCACTTTTAAATTCTATTCTTGCATTTTGGTCATCCAGAGTGAAACCAATTTTAGTTATATTCAGTGAAACCAGTGCAATATACCTTTTCTCAGACTTCAGTATTGCCTTGTGAAGTCCGTTTGTTCCAAAAAACATTTCTGTAAAATTTTTAACATGTTTTCTATGTGCTCAGTGAACATCTGTTAATCCTCTTCTTCCTTTTGGAAAGAGAAATGTTTGATCTTTCCATATCTGTGTTGGATAATTTTATTAACATTGTAGAGGTTTTTGTTTGGATACCCTCTAGACCCTTGTTATTTTACTATGTCATATATATACATATATATATATATATATATATATACATACATATATATGTATGTATATGTATATGTGTATATATATGTATATATATACATACATATATATGTATGTATATGTATATGTATATATATATATATATATATATATGTATGTATATGTATATATATACCCACAACAGTATAGCATTGGTATTAATTGCTGTTAATGGACTTCACCTTTCTCCTTGATAACCTTATGTTTAATATGTCTTGTCTAGAGAAGACTGAGGTATTGTATCTATTGCCATCATTTTCTAGATTCAAATTTAGAGTCTTTTCTGCCTTGGTAAACATGAAGAATTTTACACTTGTGAAGCCAAAATGACATCTTGATGTTGTTGAAGAAAGTTTCCATGAGATGAAGAAGCTGTTTAATCTGCTTTCCAAGGAGTCATAAACTTGATGTCATCCATTGATGGGATTTTTTTTGATACAATTCCTTGTTTGCTTTGAAAGTCAAACTCAGTTCTTTTCAGTATTGATTGGAGATTCTGTTAAGTTTGGACATCAAATGCATTCAAGTATTCTTCAGCTTTTTCCTCTTCAGATTTAAGTGGCTCCTCAGTTTCCACACTTTTTAAATCTATGTTTAATCTAAGTTGTTCTGCATTGATCTGCATGTTATAATGTAACATCAAGCTGGGGTTATCATTGACAAAAATCATATGGAACCTTTGCCTTTAACTGATGTTTCCAGTTTCGTCATGATGTCATACTGGTGCATGATAAAAGTATTCATGTCTTCAATCCATTTCACATAACTTAACGATAAGCACCAACTGCACCAAAGCATTTCCATTAAGGAAGGTATTAATTTTTCACATTTGTTCCCACATATCTTTACATGATGTTGTGCCAGAATACAAAGGCTCACCCATCATGCCACTGTCTTCTTAGTCAAGCCGTTGCGATGGCTTTTAGTAGATCTGATCTGCAATCATATGCTCCTTCATTTATCACTTAGATTTATAGAAGCAGTTCTATTACCGGATGGTGTGCTAACCCAATCAACGGTGAATCATTAACCTAACTGGCTAGTGTTTCAGGGTTCCTGCTAAGCCTTCTGCATGACCACAACTATCTCAAGGCACACCAAGTCATTTCCATAAATTGCCCCAACTATTACCCAGTATTTGGCCATTGGTTGGGCCTTGTTACTATTATAACAAATGTTTATAAATACATGTGCTGTGATTTGCCAATATTTAGGACTTCAATCTATATTCTACCTGACAGACCCCTTTCCCCTTCTGATATGCAGGAATCCATTTGTCTTTGAGGTGGTCCAGCATAATGTGGACAGAATTCTGGACTTGATATCAGGTTCAAATCCCACCCTTGGCATTTTCTAGCTTTATGATCCCAGGCAAGTCACTTACTTTCCTTAGTCTCAGCTTCCTCATCTATAAAATGGGAATGAAAATTTTATATATATATGTGTATACACACACACACACACACACACACACACACATACACACATATATGTATATGTATAAAACACTTATATCCCAGGGTTGTTATGAGACTTAGGCCTTTAAAGCACTTAAAATGCTATCTAAATATTGGTTTTTATTATTATCTGCCTCTTGAAGCATGAACACTGAGTTTCCTCAAAAAAGGTTACATGGCCCCTGTTCCAGGAGAAGAGGTGCTCAGACTACAGAGAGCAAGATTTGCTTCACTGCACCTCATTATTTGAAATTGTCCTCCTCTATCTGGGCTCCTTCAGCTCAAAGGACAGGAGCAGGGAATTATTTTCACTTTGGTTTAGTCAAATAAGACACTAGAATACCACCTATATGCAAACCTCTTCATTGTATCTCCCATCCAAAGTATCACTGTGGCATCTATCTGTAAGGTTTTATTTCTTTGTCGGAGGGAAGCAACTAATGAAAGAAAATCTACTACTGGGATAAAAATGCAAGTGACCCATTAAAAAGTTAAGGTTAAGTTGTTTTGTTCTGTTTTTTTTTCTTGTTGGCAAACTTTGAGCCATAAAACCCTGGGAGAGGGTTGAACTTTTTGCTTTCTCTGAAAGGCAGGTTTGGGTGAGATATTTCTTTTGATTTAGTTGCCAGGAGAGTTTGTCTCTCCAACAGTCTGGCACGAGCACCAGTCTGCATCATCAGTGCCCTCCTGTGTTCTTCACTCCTTTAGCCAGAGATGAAGGCAGATGTGAATCTAGACTTACTTGCACTGAAGGAAATTGGGAGGTTTAGCCTGGAGAAGAGAAGACTTGGGAGGCATCTGGCAGGGGATCTTGGTAGGTTTCCAGTACTCGAAGGGCTGTGGATTAATTGTTCCATTTGGACCCAGAGCGCAGAATGAGGAGCAGTGGTTCTAAGTGGCAGGAAGGAAGATTTGGGTTTGTGGAAGGAGCAACTTCCTAATCATTAGAGCTACCCCAAAGTAGAATGAGGCATCTGGGGAGGTAGAGAGTTCCCCATCACTGGAGATTCTCAAAAAATACTACGTGACCACACCTCTGGTGTGCTACAGAGGGGGATTTTGTTCATTTACAAATTGGACCATACAGTCTTTTATTTCCCTTCTGACTCTGGCATCCTATCAAATTTGTTTTGCTTTGTTAGAAGCCTTTCTAAACATGAAATCACTGTGGTAATGATGAGGATGATGGTGTCTGCTCATATTTAGATAGCACTTTAAAGTTTGCAAAGTGTCCATCTCATATCATTTGATTCTCAAACAGCTCTATGAGGGAGGCACTGTCATTATCCCCAATTTATAGATGAGTAGTATAAGGCTCATCGAGGTTAAGTCTCTTACCCAGGGTCATACAACTAGTAAATATTTGAGGCAGAATTCTAATCCAGGTCACTGACATTCCCAAACAGCAACACAAGAGAACACATGGTTTCCACATTAGATTGACTTTTTTCCCTTTTCCTACCTGGATTCTAAATCCATTCTGAATTTTAATCTTTAATTTCTCAACATCTCCCAAATAAGAGCTTTTCATTATTTTTTCAGTTCACTTAGTTTTGCCATTAAAAAAAACCTAAATTCAAAGCCAAAATAAGATGGAAGGTCATTGAAGCAAATATCATCCTGTTTCAATGTAGTGAGATTTAATTGACCTATCATGGCCATCACAAGGAATGTTCTCAGTCGCCTTTCTCTCCTGGGATTCTTAAACTGGAATCCATAGGTAGATTTCAGGGAGTCTGTGGATTTGAATGGGGGAATTATATCTGACCTCTAACTGAAATTTAGCATTTCTTCTAGTTACTAATGTAGGCAATTAGGCTTCCCCAGACTGCCAAAGAGGCCAAGTGATATAAAACAACTTAAGAGTATTTGTTGTTGTTATTCACTTTTCCATCATTTTTGTGATCCCGTGTTTTGGTTTTCTTGGCAAAGATACTGGCATGGTTTGCCATTTGCTTCTTTAGATAATTTTGCAGATGAGGAAACTGAGGCAAGCAGGGTTAAGTGACTTGCCCAGGGTCACACAGCTAATAAGTGTCTGAGGCCAGATTTGAACTCACAAAGATGAATCTTCCTGACTCCAGGACCCATGCTCTCCACTGTGCCACCTAGCTGCCCCAGAGTCTACACCAATCCCTAAGAAAACTAAGTTCTCAGAGTAGCCCATGGAATCCCAGATGGACTTGGGTTATTTGCTTGTACCCTGGTTGTCAAGTTGATGGCAGTGTCAGATTGGCTCCTCCTCTCCTTCCGGTCCATACCCTCCCTGTAATTGGTTGTTAGAAGATGTTTGTCAGAAGTCATGTCATTCTGGGACTTGGAGATTTCTATAAAAAAAAATGCAAGGAAAGGAAAATCTAGGTACCTGTTCTCTAGGTTTTCTTGCTACCCAACCCAGCGAAAAATAGGATGTTCTTGGGCAGAAGCAAGGAAAGAAGAAAGCTGCTCCATCCACTGTGAGGCTCCAGTCAAGGCTATAGAGCTGGTTAGCCTTGTGAAATTTAATTCAACAAAAATTTAATTAGCTACTATGTGCAAGGCACTGTGCTAAGTGCTGGTCATCCCAAGAAAAACCGAACAGCCCCTCCTGCCCTCCAGAAGCTGACATGACTGGGTGGGGATGGTGAGGAACTCAAAGAAGTCGGTATCAGATAGTTTAGAGACAGAGAGACAGAGACAGAGAAGAAGAAGAAGAAGAAGAAGAAGAAGAAGAAGAAGAAGAAGAAGAAGAAGAAGAAGAAGAAGAAGAAGAAGAAGAAGAAGAAGAAGAAGAAAGAAGAAGAAGAAAGAAGGAGAAGGAGAAGGAGGAGAAGGAGGAGGAGGAGACAGAGGAGGAGGAGGAAGAAAGGGGAGAGAGACAAAAAAGGAGAGAGACAGAAGGAAAGAGGAAGAGAGAGAATATATAAATAGGGAGTCTGGAAAATTTTTGGTTGAGAGATAACACAATTTGAGCCTTAAAGGACGGTAAGGATTGTGTCTAAGAGACAGAGGTGAGGATGACATAGGCATGGAGGACAGCCTGAGCAAAGCCAAAGAAGCAGGCTCTGTAACATAGAGATGATGGAAGAATTAGTAGACCAGTCTGGATGGAATACAGAGTGCATGAAGGGGAGAAATATATGTGTCTGGAGGGTTAAGTGAAGGGCTTTAACTGTCAGAGTAAGGGAGTTATATTTTACCTTACAAACAATACGGAACCAATGATCATTTTTTGAGCAGAGAAGTGACATAGTCACATCTAAGTCTTTTATTTTTTAACTGAACCAGTAATTTAATTGGTGTTGGGAGTTCCTCATGAGGAACTTCCTTTCCCAGTGTAAATCTTAAATCAAAACCCAGGGTCATGTAACCAATCAGAATCAGAGGCCATACTTAAATTCATGCCTTCCTGATTCTGAGAACAGCTTTCTATCCACTGTCCGATACTGCCTCTCTGTGTTTTAAGAATATCAATTTGACAGATGTGAGGAGGATGGGTTTCAGAAGGAAAAGACTAGAAGTAGGAAGAACAATTTGGGAGGCTGTTGCAATAGTCCAGGAAAGAGATAATGGAGGCTTGAACCAAGAAAGTGGTGGTGTGAGTGGTGAGGTTACTGATTTTGAAATGTTACAGGGGTAGAATCCACAAGACTAGACACATGATTGGATTTTTTTTTTTTTAGGGGAGAAGGTGAAGGACAGAAAAGAGTTAAAGATGGCTCCAGGGATGCACACTGGAAGTTTGGAGGAGGAATCACTTTATGGAGGGAAGAAAATGAGTTCCATTTTGGACATGTTAAATTTGAAATGTTAATGGGACATCTGAGGGAGAAGCCCATCAGGTATTTGGTAGTGAATGACTGGAATTCAAGAATGAGATAAAGGCTAGGTGTATAGGTTTGGAAGTTATCTGTGGAGAGCTAATTGAACCTGGGAGAGCTGATGAGGTCACTGAGAGAGGGTAAACACAGTAGAGGACCCAGGAAAGAATCTTGGGGGGACACAAGAGAATGGATGAGTGACAAACTAGCAAATATTGGACAAAGATCATGCTCTACTTTGCAAAGATGAAGAAGGAACAGAGTTCATGAAAATATGTGAATATGCCTTGTACTACTCTGAAGCTAGAAAATGGCTATTAGTGCCAGAGTTGTAGAGGAATATTTCTTTCGGTTAAACACTACCCTTCTGTGCTTATACAATTAAAAATTGGCAATGTAACAAATAATCAGTCTTTTCGAGAAGTTCTTTGCAAAAATAGTATAAATAAATAATATTACAGGTAATTTTTTTTAACGTGGGAGTACTAAATGAGACCAACGGTATCTTTATGACAAATTCTGAGTCACAATCTGCGAACTACTATTTAGTAACTGCCTGAAACAAAAGGGAAGAAAGTGAACAGAGTTTAATGGAAAAAAACCATAATTTTTCCTTGTTTCCTGTTGTCCCTGATTCACCCACCTCTGAAACTGACTGTAAGCAAATTATGTAGCTTGCCTCTCTAAGCCTCTGTTTCTCCATCTGTAAAATGGGGATAATACCCTTCCCTACTAAGAGAGGCTACATAGGGCAGCTAGGTGGAGCAGTGGGTAGAGCACTGGCCCTGGAGTCAGGAGGACCTGAGTTCAAATCCAGTCTCAGGCACTTGACACTTACTAGCTGTGTGACTTAACCCCATTGCCAAGCCCCTCGCCCCCAAAAAAGAGAGGCAACATGGCATAGTGGATAGAAGACCTTTCCTGGAGTCAAGAAGATCTTGGTTCTGTTCCTGCCTCTCAAATATTAGTTGTATGACCATGGGCAAATAATTTATCCTTTCCATGCTTTAGGCTGCCCTCTAAGACTATTACTTACTGATGAACTGTTGGTCTAAAATGAAATCACAGATCTCTGCCAAAAAACCCCCAAACCATCTACAGTACCACTCTCAGAGTTCTTGGGAGGATCAAATGAGATAATATGTATTAAATGCTTGGTAAACCTTAAAGCACAATAGAAATATCGACTGTTCATTGTTGTATTATTATTATAATTAGGGTCTCAAAGGCAACCTTAAATGATCATCAAGCCTGTCTGCCTACCTTCATAATCATTTATACAACATTTGACTGAATACCAATTCACCCAATATTTAATGAATACTCTTCTCTGCCTAGTAATGATTCAGACAGGACCAGCAGATAACAGTCTATCTCATCAAGAAAAGGACATTCTGCCACGTGCTCCAGTAAGCCATTGCAACATTTCCCTTATACATTAGTGCTTTCAGGCTCTGGCAGCCCTCTTCCACACCCTGCTCTAAAGTACCTGTTAGAAATTTGTCTTATCTTAGGGTGACTTTCAATTTGAGAAGGGAAGGACTTGAGCTTTCATTTCTAAGCCCTGCTCCAATATTGTTTTCAACCCAGTGGTTTTGTCTAGCCCCTAATCCTCTGGTTTTTAACATTGATTTCATCTGAAGGAAAAAGCCTACCTAAACAATGGAGAGGGAGAAGGCGAAAATAACTGAGGGACCAGACCTATGACTGAGTAGAGGTAACTCCCAGGTGAAGATACTCCCTCCACTTCTCTGCAACTTCTGAACAACTGATGCTACAACAATTTTGACATATGGTCCTGGTTAAGTCCATGGTCTATCAATAGGGATGAATTAGAATGAGGAGAGGGAAGAGCAGGCTATTTCTGAAGCAATCAAGAGTTTCCATTCTATTCTCCTCCTTTTCCAAGAAGGGCAATCAAATGGAAACTCTTCTGGAGATTTACCACTATTTAAAAAAAAAACCACCTAGATTTCCTCAAGAAATACTTCACTATTTTGCTTATAGTGAGTCAAAAGTACTTGGAACTAGGAAGATCACAGAGTCCTATAGGTGATGGTGCCAAGTGGCTCTGAGAAAGCCTTAGTGATAATGGGTTTTACCAAAGTGGATCACTCTTTCCTCAAGTGAGAGGACGCTGCCCTCTGATGGACACACCGAACTCAGTCTCCTTCTTTCTCTGTCCTTCCAGTCACACTCACTGTTGTTCCCCCTTATTCTCCTTTTTGTCTTTCCACCACATACCTACACTTCCACCTGCACCGAAACAAAAGTCTCATCTGCTCCCTATAACACTACTGGAAAACTTTTAGTATCAAAGAAGAAACAGATTAGAAAATATAGAAAAGCTTAGTAATGACAAATTGGCTACTGACCAAATGGATGAATGCATTTCCCATACACCAAATAACGTATATTCGAGGTTTATCACATAATTTCCTTAAAGGTTGGTAATTTAAAGATTATTACCCCTCTCTACGGAGGAAGAAGAAAGTACAGAGATACAGGGAGTAGTGGAGCAAGTGCTGGGGCTAGAGACAAAAAGACCTGGGTTCAAATCCCCATCCCCTTAGACACTTACTAGCTGTGTGATACTCTATGTGCCTCAGTTTCCTTATCTATAAAATGAGGAGGGGTGGATTGATCATCTTAAAGGTCCTTTCAATCTCTAAATCTATGATGCTATGATTTCCCCCCCAGGGTTACACAGCTAATTAAGTATCAAAGCAGGGACTCTTGAGAATCTTCTGCTTCTAAGCTTACCACACTGCCTTTCTATGAATGTGAATTAGTCATTGCCTTTTAGACTACAGACTAACCCAGGCATGATAAGATGTAAGAACTGGAAGGAAGCTGAGATGTTACATCGTCCACTTCCATTATTTGTACAGATGGTAAAACTGGCCTAAAGAGGGACCTGAATTACCCAAAGTCATACAGCTAATGAATGATAGGGCCAGGGAATGTGTATTGAGATCAACAATAAATATCCCTGGCTTCACAGTGAATGTCTTAGACACAAAAGCCCTTAAAGCCTGGAAAACATTTGCTCCTTTGTTCCTTCTTCCTTTCCCTGCTATGACCCCTGCTGGACTGAGGCCACAGTGACCTAAATAATTCCTAACTGGTGCCTCCTAGCTTCATACACTCTCAGGATTAGATCTGGAAGGGCCCTGGGAGACATCAGCTATGACCATATTGTTTAACTAGTGAGGGACTGACAATAGATCACGTTTCTGTTTTCAAACCTTTCATGACGGTGAATAAAATATTACTGAACCTCTCACAACACTTCTTGGGTATTGGCCATGCTCCCCACTGCATTTTCAATTTAGAGATTTTAAAATACAGGGAGAATATATGTATGTATGTATGTATATATGTTTATGTAGGCACACACATGTATGTACACATGTGTGTATATACGAGTGGATGCTTGCACAATGAGCATAAAAAGATCTTTGATCAAAGCTAGAAGGTCAGAGGTCATCCAATCCAATCCCCTCATTTTACAGATGGAGAATCAGAAACCAAGAGATAGGAAATGACTTGTCTTAGGTCATACAGTGGCAGATCTGGGATTTGAATTCAGGTCTTATGACTCACAGTTTTAGAGCTAGAAAGGATCTTAGTAAGAGTCCAGGGGTTCTTAATTTGGGATTCTTGAATTTAGGAGTTTTGGCTTTTTAAAAAAAATCCTGATACCTGTATTTCAATATAACTGGTTTCCTTTGTAATCCCATATATTTTAAGTATTTTAAATGCATTTTTCTGTAATGGGGTCCACAGGCTTTACCAGACTGCCAAAGGGATCCGTGATACAAAAATCCAGATATAATCCAACACTCGCATTTTACAGATGAGGAAACTGACACCTAGATATGTAGTCACTGGTCATATAGGCAGTAAGTAGCACAGGTAGATTGGAACATAGGTCTTTCTGGTTCCAAGCCCAGCTCTCCATCTACTCATCACTAGCTTCAAGAATAATGCTTCCTTCCACTCTACCATGATGTCTCTGGATCAGGTTAGGAGTTTAAAATCTGTTTCTATGTCTAATCATACGTGTATGTACCTGGGTATTTTAGGATATCTGTTTGCATATGCTTATGAAAAAATCAAAACAAAAGATCCCTCTGCCTCTGTGTGTGTGTGTGTGTGTGTGTGTGTGTGTGTGTGTGTGTGTGTGTTTCTACGGCTCAGGATGAGTAGAAGAACCACAGGGGAGCTGGATTTGCTGAAATGTTCAGTGTGAGCTGTGTAGGGAAGCTGTAAGCTACTAGAAGGGGCAGTAGAAGGTTCCAGATCAAGAGCTGAAAGAGTTATCTAGTCCAGCTCCCTTCTTTTTTTTTTTTTACTGATGAGAAAATTGAAACTCAAGGAGACTGAGTTTCTTTCCCACAGCCATACAGATGGTAAGCATCAGAAGCAATATTTGAACCCAGGTCCCATCTTTGGGGACTGTACCCTTTTCACTATACCACCCATTGGTGGTAAAGAAGGTGCCTGAATGGAAGAGAAAGGACCAGATTAACCACCCATTGGTGGTAAAGAAGGTGCTTGAATGGAAGAGAAAGGACCAGATTAATGAAGCTTTCGCTTTTGGGGGGCCTGAAAATCTACCTGCCAGGATGCTGTATACACACAGTTGTTGTTTGTCCTTCATTTTCAAAGAGGACCAATCATCAAGAGGTGATATCTTGACTTGCCCGTCAATTAGCTTAAAGTGAGGCAGAGTTGTACAAAGTCGTTAGCCTTACTCTGTCTTCCAGAGTGTGGAGACTGACAAAGAGCCAGGCAAAGCAAGCATTTTTTAAAACCATTTAACCCCTTCTAGCAAGTAAACAAAGCAAAAGATTTCTCCTTCCCCTCTTAATATTAAGGAAATGTACTGTTTCAGGACATAATACTTATGTCTGCCCATCAGAATAACTGGGTTTGGTTCAAATTCTGTTTATGAGCCAGAGGAAGCATGGATTGTTAGGAAGGAAGATGGCTAATTAAAGATGATCCCAGAGCCTAGATACGAACTGCACTGGAAGGCTCCATGTGGAGCTATAGAAAACAGGTTACTAAGAAGGACCTAAGAAACACAAAGCCTCTGACTAGGTAAATATGAGCTCTGCGGACCTAATCTGGGCTTATCCTCAGGGAAGGCAAAAGATGTGGGCCAACTGTCAAATTTCCATCGCAAGCAGCTACACCTCAGAAATTGGAAAGCACTACGAATCAGGGCTAAGTGGGTTGTTTGTTCATTGTCTAGCTCTAGGCTTATGAACAGGATGGAGAAAATGTTCAAAGTGTGTCACGGGCACATTTTTTATTTTCCCCCAAAGAGCCAGTTATTAAACGTGTACCAGCACATCCCTGGATATAGGGGGATGCTCAGAGAGGTTTATATTTTAAGACAAATGGGCAGGGGGAAAAATAGACTAGCCCAGAAGGTGGTGAGATGTTATAAGGATAATCTGGCAAGCACTCTTTGTTTGCAACCTGCGTAAGCACTGCCAAAAGCAACTTTTCTGAGCCAAGGAGGAAGCAAGGCTAGGGAAACAATGGAGAAAAATCAAACAAAATAGTGAGTCACAGGACATCTGAAGGCTTCTATTTTTGTATTCAAGTATCAAATAAGTTCAATTGGGCAGGCTTCTTGTTTTGTTTTGCACTTGTAACAGTCTAAAATAACTCACACAAAATCCAAATGAACCATAGAATCTGCTGCCAAGTGGTTTCCTCGAACCTTGATAGAGTTGAAGGGCTGTTATAATGTCTTGGGGAGAGGGATGGAAAGGGTGGGGCAGCAGAGACTCTAAATGAGTCAAATCAGTTTAAAGCAGGATTTTGGGGGGCACGAAGACAAAACAACCCAATGCTTTGGTTAGGATAACTAGTCTGATGCACCTACTAAAATGGAGCATGGACGAATCCACAGCCCGGCTTCCCTTGGCAGCTAGCTTTGGTATATGTAAGCCCCTTGAGAGCAATGGGGGCTGTTTCATTTTTTGTCTCTGTCTCTAGCACATAGTATGGACTTAATAATGGCTTGTTGATTGACAATTTGATGGGGAAAGTGCCAGTGGCTGCTCAGCAGAGAGGGAGGCCCCATCATATGGGAATGATCCTGAATGTTTCTACTCAATAAAATGTAATCTTCTGGAGAGGACAGACTGCTCTGTTCCTTTGGGGTTGTTGTTGTTTTTTTTCTCATCACCTTGCACAAAGAAGGTACAAAGGCGGCACTTGATAAATGCTTGTTGAGGTCCTTATCAACTCGTCACTGATTGGTGATCTTGCTTAGGCCTATCAAGAATAAGTCAAGGGGCATTCATTCACTTACTTTTTATGTGTGTGGTAAGAGAGAGAAACAAATTTTCCATCGATTTATTAAATCCTTTAAGCTGACCAAGTTCCTGTATTAAAACAGAGAGAGTAAGAGTTATGCCTGGCCCAAAAGCCTCTAAATCCCCAACTTAAAAGCACAGAGGCATATATGTGTGTGTGTGTTTGTGTGTGTGTATGAAAACTAGTACATTGCTTTACAGAAGTATAAGAGCCTTATCCTCCACTATCTATTAATACCGGCATTACAAGAGGGTGACTTTGTCAATCGTTTAGAAAGAGAGCAAGCAGTATAAATAGTGAGTCCTTAGAAAAAAAAAAGAGCCGACTTTTCATTGGCCCAGAGGTTGTTCCCCCACCCAATTGTGTCCCCTCCTTCCTCTCCTACAGCCCTGCCTTCTTCTCCTCTCCCCAGCTTTCCCACACTGCTATGGAAAACAGCAGTGTTGTGGGGTAAAGACTACAGGGGAGCCTGGATAACCAGGCTGGTGCCACTGAATGTTTTCTCCTCACACAAAAGAAATAGTAAAGGAAGGGGGAAAAGTACAAAAAAAATTAGATCATTTTTCCTCTAAAGGCTCACCTTTATAGAGGAATGATACAAGAGAACTTAAAAGCTTGAGGAAAGAAGGGAACATTTGTATCCCAGCTTGAAATTCGCCATCAGAATGCACAGATTCATTTGTTTCCCTCTTTCCATGTTTCCTATTATGCCCACCTACGTATAGATTTCATATACCTACTCACACCCAAGTGCATAGATGTAACTTTCTGCGAATGTACCAGCACATAGGTACATACACACATTTCATGGACATATATTCCCATTCCCAAACAGATATGGTTACAGGACACATACATTCCTACACTGATATACAGAAGACTATGGCTGTAAGTAGCGTGAGGCAACAGAAACTTGTACCAAGGTGCCAAAATTTAAAACGTACTGCATTTCTGCAATGGAGAAACAGCAGAGTTTACCGCCTAGTTAGCAAGAATAAATAAACTAGGAAGCTACCAGATGTTATGTACTTCCTCCACTGATGGACATACTTCATCCACATGTGAACTCTCCTAGGGCTCCCTATACCCTTCCTACCTCAGCAGTGGCCTTGTGGTGTCCTTGAGGTTTTTCCACTGCAACCCCAACTGAACTGAGGGTTCGGCCATATTGTCTGGCACAGAGAAGATACTTGAGAACTTGTTAACTGATCAATTGATTTTGTGCTGCTTACTTTGTGCCCAAAAAATTAACCAGTGCCAGCTGTGCATAAGACATAAATTCATAGAATGTTAGAGCTTGAAGGAACCTTGGCCATTATATAATCCAGCTCTTCCCTCACTGCTCACTCACCTTACAGGTGATTACAATGTAGTCTAAAGGTGGACACTCAGACATATACCACCACATCAGATGCACACATTAAACAGGGCAGGTACAAAGATCTGTGACCAAATGTATGAAATGAAAGGGAAAGAGCCTGACTGAATAGGTCAGTAAAAAAAGGTCATGAGATTGGTCAGTCATGGGACCTCAGGATGCTAGCAGAAGCCCAAACTTGAGGAATAGCAATGCTACGTAAGAAAATTAAGGTAAACTGAGAGATAATGATACCTTGATTAAATTTGTGGCATTACGAAACATGCTAAACTATGTCTTTAGAAGCTGCATATTCTTCTGACTAAGATCAATATAAGTGAGGACCCTTTTCTAGGTCCCTCAGAAATGCTGTCCTCATCCGCTTCCTCTTTCTCTGTCTCCTTCCCCACAGAAACAGATAGTGCAAACAGATACATTACCCCAGTGTTGGATCCATAATGGCTCTCACTGACAGGTGGTGGAGTGGGAGGAACCACAGAAATTTTGCTGTAGGCAAGGAAATACACAGAAGTAAGAAACCAAATACAAAATCAAGGTAAGGAGGGAGGGTATGGGGAAAAGGTCAAAATACACTATCAGAATATCATGAAAAACTCAGCTTTCTCTACTTTTCTTTGAGTTTTATGCTCTCCAAAGCCTGGAAGTACTTTAGTCTCATTCTAGATCAAGTCCAATAATTCACCATAATTAATATCACCATAGGCACTCTATAGAGAAAGGGAGTTTTTCACCCTCCAACATGTATTTCACATCTTTAACCATATACTAGAACCAATTAGGCATCTTGAGATAAAACTATAAGGCTTCAGAGTAGAATTGCTAGCAGAGCTCTTTCTCCTCAGCCATACTAGCCATGGGCAGCTTTCTGAGTCTGAGCCTTTGCTGAGGAGATGTCATTCAGAAAATGGCCTCAGAGTTTGGGAGGGAAGGGGTCGAAAAATAGCGTCAACTAAAAAGGGACTAAATGCTCAGACACCACTTACTAGGAGAAGTCGAAGAAAACGAAGTAGAAAAATCCTACTAATGGTAAGTCTAAGCCCAAGCCAAGCAATTTTTGTTCATGGGAAAATCACAGTAAAGCTTGACTCAAGTCAAATGCAGTAACAAGTGGGGCTGATTGCCAGCTTCAGGAAAGCTAAGTTTCCAAGCATTTACACAAAAGGGAAAATAGAGAAGACCAGTTTGCTATATAATTTTTCTCCATTGCTGTTGTTTTAGTTCTACTTGGACCAGAATTTAAGACTGCCTCAAAGGACCAAACTACATCAACACAGTATATTTGAACATAACAGAAATAGGATGAAAAATTGTTTTCCAAATAAAATGATAATGTGTGATTTTAATTATTATATTTAAAGCTCATTTGTACAGACAGTAGAAATTATAGTAAAATATGGTAAAACTGTTTAAAATTATATTAAAAATTATCAACTGAGACAATCGGTGTATCTGGACCTTCTTTAATGTGTGACATGAATGAGAATTTACTATCATGCGTCTGCATCATTCAATACTCCCATATCGTTAAATTTCAGGGAAATTTGCCAGACCCAACATATAGTAGGCACTTAAATGCTTGTTAAGTGATTTGTTGATTGTGTGCTGCTTGCCTTAGGTACAAAAACACCTAGTGACATCTCTGCATAGGACCACAGATAGACTCTTAGAATGTCAGAGCTTTAAGGAACCTCAGCCATCTATAGTCCAACCCTCTCCCATCCATTTTACAGATCATTAAATTTCAGGGAAATTTCATACAAAGAAAATACTTAGCTTGAAAAAAGTCTACTATAGAATTTTCAATAAGAACACATAGGAAACTAGGTTTGAATCTTTTTTCAAACACCTCAGCATAAAGAATTTGAAATTCAAAGCTCTGACATATAGAAATCAAGAAGTTTAAAAGTTCTTTTCTGATGTCCTATAAGCTTCTTTGCACTTCAGTGTCCTAGGACAACTTGTCCTTTCTACCATACTAACCTCAGTTTCTGATAAGATTTCAAGAGCTTTGCACCAGCTGTTTCATGTTTGCCTGAGAAAAGATAGAGAATAGAGGTCATTTATTAGCGTGGACATAATTTGGAAGATGCAGATACAGGAAGTCATAAATTAAAAATTATTATTTTCCTAATACTGATTCTAATGATTAAAAGTCAAGTAGAATCAGATCAAAAGGACATCTTTCAACTCTAATTGCTGGGAGCAGGAAAAGCAAACTTTATCTGAGGTTAGGTTAGGACAGCTCTTTGTAGGAGACAGTGGTTCTCAAACTCTTTGGTCTCAGGACCCTTTTACACTTCGAAAAATTGTTGAAGACCTTAGGAAGTTTTTGTTTACGTGGCAATATCCATTGATATTTACTGTGTTAGAAATTTATACACCTTAGTACTAATATGAAAATTGTTTTGACCTCTTGGATTCACTGAAATGATCTCAGGGACAGGCAAGATCTCATTCCACCTCTGAAACTTCATTTCATTATCTGATGCATCTCATTCTAAAAATATCCTCATTGAATGAATAATTTTAAAAGCATTTATTAAGCACCTACCGTGTGCCAAGCACTATACTAAATTCTGAGGGTACAAATACAAAAGGAAAGCCAGTCCTAACCTTCGAGGAGCTTATATTCTAATGGGGAATTCACATTTAGAGGAGTGGTGCCTAGGGAGGGGTATTTTGTTTTAGAAAGTGGTAAATGGAGTTATAAGAGAATAATTGACATGCTCATCACAGAAATTTTTTTTTCAAAGAATAGTATTTTGTTCAGTCATTTCACTCATGTCTGACTCTTTGTGACTCCATTTGGGCTTTTCTTAGAAAAGATGCTGAAGCAGTTTGCCACTTCCTTGTCCAGCTTATTTTACAGATGAGGAAACTGAGGCAAACCGGGGTAAGTGATTTGCCCGGGGTCACACAGCTAGTAAATGTCTACGGCCAGATTTGAACTCAGGAAGAAGAGTCTTCCTAACTTCAGGCCTGGCACTCTATCCACTGAGCCACCTAGCTGCCCTAAAGAATAACTAACCATACATATTTTTAGTTTAAAAGCAACCTAGTATAAGTGGATAATAGTCTGGTCTTCAGATCAGGAAGACCTGGCTTCACCTGTGGCCTCTAATATATACTGGGCAAGTAACTCAATATGGCAGGGATCCACTCGATTCTTTGAATTATATAGTTGAGTAGCCAATATGCATCAGCAGAGAGATTTTCCACTCCAGGAGTTCCCTTCATGGATGAAATCACATGATCCAACTTTGCTGACTGCCCTCTCTAGTTTTGTTTTTGTTTTTTGAGAAAGAGGATTTTTGTTTTTATTTTTGTAAAGGTTGTGGGACAAGAGGAGTGGGGGAAGAAAGAAACTTTCTGCCAGGGATCATGGAAATCGAGTTTGTGAACAGAATCTGCAGGTCTGCACTGTCACTCCTGGAGGAGTCATCCAGGAGAATACTTTCTCATCTTAAATGGAATTTGCTCAGGTGGGCTGAGCACTGATGTCAAAATGCCTGCATATTGAAAACCTTACTGACATGCATTAAAGGTCAGAATTTTAATTCAGATTTCCTTTTCCTGGGGCAAGCATATTTCTCAAGATCCTTCTCATTGTGCTCACCCCACCTCCAAAAAAAAAATGTATCAGTATTGAACTAAAGGTGCCAAGTCTCATTTCCTGTGAGATCAGTCCAGGACCTAGACAATGTTTGACCAATAGTAACGACTAAATAAATGTTTGTTTCTTTGCATTGAATTGAATTTACATCCTGCACAGTTAGAAGGAAATAATCTGCTCCATATTTGAGCAGCAGATATCCTTTTCAGGTGACCTATGCCATGAATGACAAGGATCTTGAAACCAAGCCGAGCATGTCCTTTGCAAGGTTGGCAGACAAGAATTGGTTGCCAGTAGAAATGAGCACATCAAATTCCAGTGGTTAGAATCTATAAAGCAATAACTCCCAGTTTGACTGAGAGACCTAAGACTTAATAATAATAGCAAATTTTGTATAGGTTTTAAGATTCTCGAAGTACTTTGCATATATTACCTCATTTGATCCTCATAATAACCCTATGAGGTAGATGCAGTTACCTCTATTTTACAGATGAGGAAAGTGAAGCAGAGAGATTATGACTTGCCCAGTCAATAGTGTCAGAGGAAGGATTTGAACCCAGGTCTTCCGGAGTCCTAAATCAACACTATTTGCTACAGGGTCCTCTCTCTTTGTAGCTATCACATTAAGTTTCTTGAGAATTTTACAAGCACTACTTACAAGTTCTTCTGCAAGGAGAGGGACAAGAGAGGCCAGGGCATGAAGTCCCTAAATGTCACACATCTACCTGCACTGAAGCAATTTTCAGAGTGATTATAACTCTGCTGAGTTATGTACATAGAAGTAACCATCACCAAAAAAAAAAAAAGAGTAACCATGTACATAGAAGTAATCAAAATCAAGAAGAGAAGAAAAAAATCCTTTGAGGATACAGTGAAGCACACAGTTCATTTCAATAAAGCCACCACTTCTTTCAGTGTAACTGACTGACTGCTGGGAAAACAACAGCAGTAAATACACCAAGCAACAAACAGTATTTATTAAGTGTCTATTACATCGCCAGGCACAGTGTGCTAAGTGCTTGGGATACGTTGACCAAAGTGAAACAATTCTGTCTTTCAAATTGGGAGAGACTACTTGTATGTGCAGGGAGGTCTCTATAAAATAGATACAAGGTAATTTGGGGAGAGGAGCAGGCACTTTTAGCTGAGGAGCCCGAGAAAGACTCCAGGAGAAGATGGGATTGGTGGTGAGTGTAGAAGCAGCATGGTATTGCAAAAACAAAAAGGGGGTGGAGCTGGATTTGGTCAAGTCAATAAGCATTTATTAAGCACCTACTATGTCCTAGGTACTATGCTAAGTTCCGGGAATACCAAGGCAAAAGACAGTCCCTGAATTCACAGCCTAATAGAGGAGACATTGTACAGACAACTCTGTGCAAACAAGATGTAACAGGATAAATTGGGAATAGGAAGGAAAGAGGAAAAACATTAGCATTAAGGGGATTGAGAAAGGCTTCTTGCAGGAGGTGGGATTTTAGCTGGGTCCTGAAGGAAACCAGGGAAGCCAGAAGCTAGAGATGAGGAGGGAGGGCATTCAAGGCATGGGAGACATCCAGTACCCTGAGTCTGGAGATGGAGTGTCTCATGTAAGGAACATCCAGGAAGTCACAGCCGCTGGACCGTGGAGTATGTGGAGGAGCATCAGGTATAAGTAAATGTGGAAAGAAGGGGACAGGTTCTGAAGGACTTAAAAAGGCTCAGTTTAAGGGGACCTGGATTCAATTCCTGGGTGTACTACTTAATAATTGTGTGACATTAGGCAAGTAAGAACAGTTTCCTTATCTGTAAAATTCAAGGGTTGGACTACCTAGTCTCTATCACCCCTTCAAGTCTAAATCTGTGATTCTGTGAAAGAAGCTTGAGACTCTTAGAGGCAGAGTTAAGGGATACTTCTATTACAGGAAATCATTGAGAACGTTTCATCCCTTTCTCAATCAAAGTCTCCAGGACAGCCATGAGCCCAGGAATAGTGACAGAAGCTCAAAGAAAGAAAGGCCACACTTAAAAAAATTAACTTCATGAGTTCACAGGATGGAAAGGATGGTTAGCAAATTTTTAGCCAAACCTGCTCATTGGTTATCAATAGCAAACGTACAAATGTAAGCCTGGATACCACTATGCTGATCAAAACAGGAAGTATGTGTTTCTATTTGAACTGTCACACTGATAATGATAATGACTGACAAAAATAATAATATACTTTAAGCATGAATTCCTGTAGCTGAGATTTAGTACTTCCTGTCCCTGGGAGACAGCCTGTGCAATAATAACATAGGGACAGAAATTACACAGATCACAATGTAGTAAAAGTTCTTGCTTACTGGTATAGTAGGGGGGAAAAAGGTGTGTATATTATGGTCAGTGGAAATAAATTTGAATCCTAGCTCTGACACTTGCTTCCTGTAAGACTTTGGGCAGTCATTAAACTTTTACAGGCTTCAGTTTCCCCATCTGTAAAATGAAAGAACTGGATTAGATTAGCATTGAAGTCTCAGCTCTGAATCGATGATGCTATGATCTAGGGATCACAGCCTTTGCCATGGAAAAGCTTGATGCAGTTGAGTAGGAAAGGTGATGAACAGGTTCCAGATTTCACCATATAATAGTGACCTAGTAAATCATTAACATCCCACATACTTAAATGTATCTGTATCCTACTGAGGCATAATGTCTTCTACTTAATAACTAGTTAATTTGCTTCTTTCAATATCCTCAATACTTCAGGAAACAAGTAATTTGCATTAGAAATAATGTCCTTATATAAGTATGTTAGGTAGGGGCCCTTGAATTAAGAACACACTGACTCCAGAAAGTCCCCCCCAAATTAGTCAAGGGACCAGAACTCCTAATAAGCTATAAGAGAAAAAGATCCAAAACAGACCTTTATAATAATAGTTACACTTCTCTGAAAGGATTGTTGTTGTTCCAATCATGTCTGACTCTTTGTGACCCCATTTGGAGTTTTCTTGGCAAAGATACTGGAGTTATTTGCCATTTCCTTCTCCAGCTCATTTTACAGATGAGGAAACTGAGGCAAACAGGGTTTAGTGACTTGCCCAGAGTCACACAGCTGGTAAGTGTTTGAGGCTGGATTTGAACTCAAGTCTTCCTGATTCTGGGCCTGGCACTTTATCCACTGTGCCACCTAATTTCCCTCTAAAATGATAGGCACTCCTATATTCTTTGTTGGTAGTAGGGAGATGTTTCCAAACAGTCACAATACATTTCCAGCTAAACCATAGGGAGTTTTATGAAAGGGGTACAATGACAATAAATAGAGCTCTGAATTCACAGTTAGAAAGATCTGGGTTTCAGTCCCTCTCCTGATATTTGCTAACCATGGCACATTGGGCAAACCTCTCTGAGCATCAATTTCATATGATCATTGATCTAGAAGGAATCTCAGAGGCCATTTAGTC